AAAAAAAGTACTGTTTAATGAATTAATTTCTTTCAGAACTGTTTTCTATTGTTTTTAATTTCGAAAACCATTTGGAAAGATACTTTTGTTTTTGTGTTTTTATTCATTTTAATTTAAAAATACAACATAATAAAATCAATTATACTAAACAATATAACCAAAGATTATATATGAACAGTAATAACAAAATATGTTTTTATTTTCAATTGTTTTTACTCGTGAAAACTTTTTTAGAAATTATCATGTTAAACAATTTTTTAATATCAATAAACTGTTTTCTTTTAAACATGAAGAAACAGAAAACTATTTTTAAATCTCACTCCCAGAGCTCCCACCAGGATTCAAACAAGTATCGAATATCTTACCTCCCAACAACACGCACAGATGCTAGAATGTCATCTCCTTTTCTTTGTCCATGCTCCTGTAGAATAATAAATCACAATTCTAAAGAAAAACCAGTAACATCACATCCTACTACTGCTATGAGATTCTCATAATTACCTTTGCATCTTGCAAATATTCTAGCACAACACCAGTAGTCTCATTAAGCCCTCTAATCACTTTCATGAGAGTGTTTTCATCAATAAGGTCTCCTGCAAAACATAAAGTGATAAAATGACCGTAATTCAGCATTGCTAAATACATTGTCCAAACGTCAACATTAGATCACAATGTCACAACAAGGTTAGGTATGTTTCAATGAAATTGTTTCCTCTCTTACAATTTATAAACATCAATCCTACATATTCTATACTCAAACTATAAAAACCTAGTACATCCCCGGGGTTGATCCTATTGACAAGAGCTTGGGGTCTTTTGATCATACCAACTCAAGTTTGAACCTTCGTTTGAGCTTAATACAAAAAAATTTCGATGTCTCCCGAGTCCAAGCCTTGGAGCGAGTGCGGGTGCTCCCAAGTAAAGGGGAGCAAAGCTCTGACTCTCTCCCAATTACCAAAAATAAAGATAAAAACCTAGTACACGGACCATCGAATCCAAACAAGACCAGGCAAGCCAAACAGCAGTGTAATATAGAGGTAATAATTCTACCATGTGAATCCTCTGAAGGGTCATAGAACAACGGATTATTTTACAACCACAACTTATACATCTACAACTCCATGCTTCAACCTCTTCCAGTTTTATGTGATTCTATTCAGATCAATCCGCATTCCTCTCTTTCTTGAGCTATCCATTTGAAGCATGTTTAATTTTCAAGTTGTACAAAATCTGACCACTCCAGAATAATCTAAAATTGAGAATAGTCCATAGTTTTAACCAAATATACTACAAAACAGCCCTTTCATATGGCTGGTTTAATTAACCAATTTCCTTAATTTGTTTGTACTCCTAAGTGAGCATATAACTAAACATTTATTTATCATAACTGGATCAAGTAAACCAAACATTGGTGTACTCTTCAACCAACAGTTAATGACATCCAAATGTGACATTTAAAAGCAGTGTCTCACGCCAATAAATAAAATTCATAACCTAGCAAATCTGTGACATCCAAATGTAATAATGTACCTTGATTTTCACCAACATTTGATATAAATTTAATTATCTTTTCCACCAAAGAGAAAGCAGTAGCCACATTCCGCTGCTTTAAGAGAATACTATCCTTCAAGGACGAATTCTTGGAAGCTTCATACTTCATATAGGCCAGTTCATTCAGCATTACAGCAATCTCAACTCTTGACTGCTCTAAGACAAGTATTAGACATCTGAGATTGAAAGGGAGGAAAAAAAAAATGAAACATTATACATGAGAAAATAGTAAAGCATTATTACAGGTAGCAAGATGTGAATACCTGTCACATGGAATAGGATCTCGAACATCAGGTAGCTCGATTTCACCTATCAGCCAACCTTCTCCTAGTATAGATACCATAGACTCGGCCAAACTAAGAGCCTGAAGCTTTTCAGCAGGTGCTGTACATAGGATAGCAAAGCAAGAGATTCAATAAGTTAGAACATGAAACTTCTTACTAGACCCTACGAGAATATACTTGAAATATATGCTTTAATTTTTTTTCACTTTTCCATTAGAAGAGCAAACAAATTACATCTTGATTAAAAGAAGAGAAAATTTACTGTAAAGAAATGAATACGTACAATTATCAAAATTTATCCAACCTAACCATTTCTTTTAAGAAGAAAGAGAGGCTCTAGCAAATACTATATTCAAGCCCTAAGAAACACTCATCACATCTTCATGTTGATAAATATAAAAGGGAAGAGAAAGAATCATGCTTGACATTGAAGAAAATTCATCTCATAATACCTGTGCGGTTATGAAGAATGGCTGAAACTCCATCACGCATATATTTTGACCAAATATTTGGGGGTACTAAACGAAGGGCATCATAAAGTGGCATCTGAAAATGATGCCATTTCCAAATCATCATTAAACGTCTATGCAACAACAAAATTTATGATTATGACAGAACCAGGAACTAACTGGAATGAGAATTTTGAAAGTAATGAAAAATAATACTAAAAAATGCATCAAATTGGATTCATACTACAAGTGATGCATTGGACAAGGCTAGGCAAATGTTGCATACCGAATTTGAGGACAAGATGGCATAGAGCAGGTGGAGTGCTTCGAACTTCATAGCATCATGCGACACTCCAAATTGCCTTGCAATAGCAACAACCTGATTTGATAATGCATTCACTCAATTATGGGAGAAGGTAGAAATTTTGCCCCCCCAATAAGATTATGGGGTGGAAAAAGAACCAAGACAATTAAGCTATCCTGAAAAATTGAACTTACAATATCCGAGAGTTCAGGCAAACAGTTGATGATGACAACATCCAAAGAAATCTTACTTATGATCAATGCAACAAGTTGCGTAGAAATCTTCATCAGATGAGAACCTACACAACAAAAGCTTATGCTGCTCAAATATCCATACACCATAGTAATTTGGAAACAGAGCACTACTTCCATCTCTCAACACATTAGCCTTCCTAAAAAATTAGATTAACAGATGTTGACCTGGATCAAGATAATTAAAAATAGCATTAGGAAAGCTTCCTAATTTTTCATAAGTTAATTAAAAGGGGCATAGAGAATGGAGACAATAACTAAGGCGAGCCCCCACTACAAGGCTTCTCAGTGAAACTCAAAAATAATGAGAAGGGTTACCATCTGGCAATGCTGACATCCAAGAAGCTAAAATTTTCAAGCTTCCAGATTTATACAGAACGGTGACTCCAGAATCAGAAGTAGTTGATACCAAATATAGAAATTCAAGACACTCCTCCAAAATGGAAGATCCTGACCTTGCATAAACAACCAAAAAAAACATCGATCAAAGAGCTCGGACTTAGACCGGACAAGAAAGCAGAATGTAAATAGTTATCTGGAAAGTTAGGCTATAATGCAATCAATGATTTCTTAATATAAGAATCTATATCCCAAGAGCACAAGTAAATTCATGCCAGATTTAGCATAGTTAAGTAAATAACATTTAGCAATACTGAAGGATAATCGATCATATATACGTATTGCAAATCCAAAAGATAGTCGAGCAAATATTCATATTGCAAGTCTGAAATCATGTTTTATGATCTATCTCTAAATTTCCTTTGTAAAATGTAACGGGATAAGAAGAACACGTGTGAAACAAATAAATTCTTTTCTAATCCCATTTGGCGTATTTTGCTTCAATATCATCTCATTCTCGTAAAGGATAACTCATCATTCTAGTTCTCTCCAACTTCATGTTAGTTGTCTTGACCAAGTTACGATAACAATTATTTTTCCTCACCAACAAATATACTATTCACCTCCCAAAAATATCATCAAAGCAGGTTTCAGATTGTTTCCATTAAAAATAGACCAAATCACAAGATATAACATTCTCATTTTCAATTTTTTTCCCTCAAGGCTTCCTACGAATAGCGAGTTAAGCAATATAATTGAGCATCCAATTAGACTGATTGAAGTGGAAATGTAACCAAAAAATAGTTTACGGATAGAGGACGCACTGGTTGGATGCAGTTTCCAATATCAGTGGAATCTTCGAAACCATCTCTTCAGAAGCAGCAATCCCAGGAACATGGCAAAACGCAGCCAGAATCCTAACAGACAGCTGCAAATAAGCATCGCGATTATCCTCTCCAGGTCCACTAACAGTTCCTTTACCCATGCCTAGAAGTTTCAAACAAATTTTCATAATATATATCAAATCTAAACGTATACGCTAACATAGAACAAATTCGACCAGTAAGTTTACAATGGTCACGGAGTGGTAAGCAACATACCAGTCCTCAGAAGCCGATCAAGAAACTTCGCTCCAACGGCATTGTAAACTCTAGTAAGAGAGGCGTGGTCATCCACCTTGCAAATTTTAGTAACTAAGAAAAGGCCAGCGAGGCGCTGCTCGTCCTTCTCTCCCTTCAACAGCTTCAAGCAATCGTCAATGGATACCGACGTAGTTTGATCCTGCTCTAAGTCCTACAAATAGTAAAAACAAAAACAAATATGCATAGATTAGAACAAGAATTCTAAGAAATGCAATACTGAGGTTCGCGAAAAAAGAGAGAAAGATAGTCACCATGAAGGTGGAGAACTGGAGACTGGAGAAGGAATTTCAAATTTCAAATGTAGAAGATGATTTAGGCGGCTTCTCTTCGTCTTCGCTGCTTCCTTCAGATTTTTCTTGTTAAGGTTATGAACTCCAACTATGGTTTACGAGCGAACGACCAAACGAAATTCGGCCATGGATGCTTCGAGAGGGCTCCCGCCACCACATTCCAAGGCCCGGCAACTGGAACCCTAATGCGGGCCGCACTTGTTTATAATTGGGCTGGGCCATAACCGTACCCATAATTTATGGGCCAAAACTTTTAGCAAATAAACTATCGAAAATTACTAAATTAAATAGGAAAAATATAAAATATTTCCGCCAAATATATTTTTCAATTCAATTCAGTCTCTCATGCTTTACTATTTCCCCTTAATCTTTATCTATTTAAATTTGTTAAAATTGATTGATGATAAATTTACTCATAATAAGCATTAGCACGAATTTATAAGAAAGATAAAATATCTGAGAAGGAAACTCAAAATTTCTAATATTTTAAAAAATTTGGATGAAGAATTATAAATTATCTTTTATTACGTTTCTTTTTTCTTTTCTAATAGTAAACAATCAAGGACGTGGGATTAAATTAAAAAAAGAAAAAAAAAGGTCAAATAGCTGAACTAAAATACATATCCAGTCTAATGTATGGGTTTTTTAATATATATTTATCTCATTTATTGACCAATTATTATCAAAACTGTATCTCTGCTATCGATCTTAAATACAACTACTCATGGCTCAACTAACAAAAATTGACTAAAGATTTTTGCTGAAATCAATGTGGAAATTTGACAACTATAACCTGAATAAGTGTGAGTGAAATTTTAAGAACCCAACAAAATTTTAAAAAATGTAAGAACCAAATGGGAATAAAAATATTCTCTAACTCTGGATAAATTAAAACCATCATTCATACAAAACTTTTATTAACAACCTTTCAAACTATAAAGTATATAATTAGCAGGTTGTTTCAGTTGAACAACATGTGAAGCAGTGAAGGTAGGGATTAGAACTTCTAACCTTGTGGTAATCACCTAAGGTGATTTATTGAATTTCTTAAACTTAATACCACTATTTTGAGTATTATTTATTAAATCATTAACTAAATTATCAAGGTATACTCTAATCAACACGTAACAATAACTATCACTCAAATATAGTAAGCTATATAATTTCCGTATTTGTTGTTATTGTAATTCTCTTTTGTTTTTACCACTTATGTTACTATTATTATCATTAATTACTTTATTATAACATAGAGATAGATGTAGGAGTAGGAGTAGGAATTAAAATATATAATATCTTATAAAATTACTACATACGTTTAAATTGACTATATACTAATAATTTTAATCTTAGAAAGCAATTGTTTGTATTAAAAAAAATAGATCATTTGTCATATTCGAGGAAAAAAAAATGAATACACCAGATGTGACGGGTAGAGATTTGAACCTCCGACATCGGGGAGATGAATTATGTGTCTTTATCTCTAGGTTCATGATGGCTTGTTCAAATTGGTTATACCTCAAACAATGTATTAAATTAGATTCATGAACCTTTTAAGCATTAATGTCATTACTATCTACTATTTTGCTACTTTTACTAATAATTACAGTACAATATAATTAATTGAGAATCATGTTAATTTGTTGTAGAGGCGAAGGTATTAGAAGTAATACCTCAACAACCAATTCAAATAAGGTTTAAGAAATCATGTTAGATAGTTGATACGAGTAAATATAAAAGTAAAAAGTATGTATATATTACCAACACGAGCATAACTTAATTGATTAATACGTACTATATTATCAATTAAAATGTTTAAACGATCGGAGTAGATTCACGAACCTTTGAAACATCAAAATGCTATTACTATTTTATTTACCATTTTGCCACTTTCCCTGATAATTCCAAGGCCGTGCAATTAATTAAGAATTGGAGATGATACCTTCGAACTCTTCAAGTGGCATTGCCGCATGCTGGTCACGTGCGCTACAGCCGAAAAGAGACTTCAAGACAAAAAGTAGGGGGACGCGTGTCAAGCAATAAGTGGCTCACGTCGTCGGAATCTCGGGCGGGCGGCTGCGGCAGAGATCCCAAAGCAAATGCCATGTAAAATAATAAATAAATAATAATAATAAAAGAAAGTGCATAAATTAAAGCCAATAAAAAGAACGTGTAAAGTCCTGTTTTGGCCACGGATGCGTTGCATGGTGCCAATAAAAGTGTGGCTCTGGCGGAATTGGGAGCTGCGTTAGTTGCATCCATTGATACTAAAATGACCTCTTTCAAGTCAACTAAGAAATAATATTAAAAGCTGTCTTGTTTTTCATTCGAAGTTTTATTAAGAAATTTGAGTATTTGGTGAATATTTATGTTCGTCTTTAATTGTTTTTAAAAACACTCTCGAAATTGTATATAAATTTTAAAAATAAAAAAAGCAAATTTATTGTTTCTAGTTTTCATTTCCAAAACATAGATATAAATATTGTGTTAATGATTCTTGAAATTTTATTTTTTTAAAAATAAAATAAACGATAAACAAAAATGTTATCAAACGAGCCATAAAATGTCAACATAAGATTAGTTCAACGGTAAATGATGTATACTCTTTGTTTTGAGGTCGGAGGATTAAACCCTCGTATACACAATTGAAAAAAAAAGAAGTAAATAGATCGACAAATTAGAGCAACATGTTTATCTATTAAATATATTTTGATATACGTTGCCTATGTCTAGGGTGAATCAAGGAAGCAAAGAGGTACCCATACAAATTATTCATAATTCAAAACGCATTTATTAAATATTTGATCTTTTGTATTTTTTCTTTAATTTTGCTACCCTTGAACTTTTATAATTTTAATATTATATATACAAACATCCCGCTGTTACGATATTAATTTATTTTTCAACACTATTATTCTATGTCATTTTAAATCGAACAACGTTTGTTCAATAAACATGTCACACCATCATTTTAACAATAATCCAGATGAACTACATAGACTCACAACCTAAAACAACATCGAAGACTAATTTGTAATTGTCTCACGGTTTCTCCACTGCTTCCAAAATTAGTCGACGACATCGAAAAATACATGGAATCCCAGTCCAAATTTAAGAAACGCAATTAAAAGAGTTCAAAATTTAGACAGACAATCAAAATTGAGGGACTAAATTGCAACACTACAAAAATGAGTGCCACTGATGCCCCACGCTTTCCCCGCTCCTTCCCAGCTCTACTTTGACAGCCAAACAGCCGCATAAATAGCTCTTCTTATCCATCCTTTTTTAGTCCTCATTCTTAATTTTAATTCTTCCCCAAATTTCTATATATTTCTTCCATTTCTCTCTCCCACTTCCATCACTTGTCGTTCATCTTTCCTCTAAAGCAATCAGAAAAAGGTTGCAGAGAATCAGCGATTCGTTCGCGATGTTGAACAACGAGTACAATTCATCTCCATTTTCCTTCACTCACAAGCTCAAATCCTCCATCCTCTGCTTCCGCGCCGACCATGGCGATTTGGGAGATCACGAAGACGAAGCCTCTCTAAGGAGCCCTAGATCGCCGCTCAAATCCACGGCCAGCGAGCATACTGAGCTCCGGGGAATGTGCCGGAATCTGGTGGCGAGGATCGGCCGGAGCCGGCGGCGGTACCATCACTCCGCGGATTTCAGATACGATCCTTCTAGCTATGCTCTTAATTTCGAGGACGAACACGCTCGCTACGATGACGACTTTCCGATTAGGGATTTCGCTTCGAGATTGCCGGCGTCGCCGCATTCTTCCCCGATATTTCAACCGGCGAAATGAGGAGTGGCAATTTGGCACTGCCGCCGCCTGCAAATCTCATACGATTTTGAAGAGATGGGATTGGAATCGTTGATTGTAACTGTGAACTGTAACCTATAATTTGACATGGTGTTCAACGAGCTACATGTATAAATATATAAAGTTCGTAAAATTTATTCTTTCTATATAAATAAATTAATAAACAAGTTCGCTGATTATCATCTCCTTTGATTTCCATTGACTGACAAGTTCCCTAAATTGTTAATAAACGTTGAAACCAGTCCAACTTATTATGGATTTTCAACTTTATCACTATTAATGACTTTTATTGTTTTTTAAAATTAGATTTTTTTTTTTCTGAAAAGTTTTAAAATTAAAAATCCCCTGTAACGTTTCAATACAAAAACTGAACTAAAGAAGGTAAACAAAGAAAATAAATAGAGTGTATCATAGGATTCTTTTAACTCGGAAACAAATATTTAGTCACTAAAGTCTATAAATGTATATTAACTCGATAAACTTCTATGGTCGATCATTCGAAGTTCCACTATGTCCCGTTTCTTGAAAAAAAATCATAAATGCATCTACAAAAGAAAACAAAAAATTGGTTGTACCGAATAATTGATACCTTATACTCAACTTGCTTACTACCACGTCCTAATTTTGTAGTTGTCGAAGTTGTTCCAGTTGTCTTACTTAACTTACTACCCCACCTTAATTGTTTAACTTCAACTTGCTTACTACCCGTCATTAATTTTTATGAATCTGACGAGATATCTATAGAGTTTTCCCTCGTTCCTTTTATCACTGAACTTAACATAATTTAGTATAAACATGATTGAGTTACATAAGATAACTGATACATGTGAAACCATGGTTAAAACCATTTTTGGGCACCATTTTTAAAATAAATGTACATAAGAGTAGATATGGTAACTCTCCCCTAATTCTATCAGCACATCCACAAGCTCAAGAAATTAAAGTTAGATTTATCCATAGCCATATAAATATATAATTCTCCACTATGTAATATTAAATTAAAAAAAAGGAGCTATAATCACATGTATTAATTGTACTGTAAGGAACAATGCACAGATTATTAAAACTGTACACCCATATAACCCCTCACCTTTCTTATTCACATTACATGAAGAAGGTAAACAAAATCACAACTCCAATCCATGTGGAGTATCCAAATTCATTTCAACTAAAATATACTCCCCTAAATATCAATTCCTAATCATATATCACATTAACACCATTAATCATCTTCATACTTCTTTTCGATTCGAGTAATTCCGAAACACCTGCCCGTCATACGGCATATTTTCATGTATGTCCCCATCCTCGTCCTCGTTCTCATCCCTAACTTCTTCAGTCAACACGATAGCTATGTTCGTTTTGCAGGCTTAAAAATGGCTTCTAAATAATTGGTATGGGGTTTATAATGCTATGCAGCAGAGTGTTGAAACAGGAATTGGTGTTGAACCAAAGTGTCATTTGAAACGGTCGCTGCTGTTTTCACCTGCACTACTTTCAAATTAAGGTTGGTGCAAAATTCATTCAAGTTATAAAGAAAATCAGCCACATAATTTATAGGCATGTTTTTGAAAGAATGTATTATACCTTTTGCGTTTGCTTTTCAAGTTTGTGGAACTTGAAGGATTGCTGTGCCAGTTTCGCTTCCTCTGGTTAATGAACCAATTGTTTATCTGTTTCAGCTGTAGGCCAGTTTCTTGCACTAACCTTGCCTTGTCTTCCTCCTGATAAAGCCAGAAAAAAGAATCAATAAGAATCAATTTACTAGCACGAGGTCCACTACAAGAAAAATGGCATTCGACGACATTTTTTAGGGACGAAAACAGTTTTTGTCGCTTAAAAAGCGACGAAAATCAGACACGAGCCCCCAACTTACTGTAGGATAAGGCCACTTTGAATGTGATTGCCACCATTGTTTTAGGACAGAGGTGGTGTCACCAGGGAGTTTTCCAGCTCTTCTCTTTCTCAGAATTTCTTCTCTTATATCCACAATTTTTTCCTTGTAACCCTGTTCATAACAAAGCTTCAGTGACAGAAGATATTAATCAGAACAGAGATTCAATTTTTTACATCTTCCATTACCGATTTTAGTTCATGCTTCAGTTCTTGCCTGACCCTCTCCATCAAGGACCTCTCACTCTCTGTGGGAATAAGAGGGCCAAATCCCATGGTGTCTGCACCCTCTAAACTCCCATCAAACAAATTCGTATCGCTGTCGACCTGGTCGTCGTCGTCATCCGACATTGTCGCTCCTGTACCTTCCCCAGGTGAAACTCCTGATGTTGCAAAAAGAATAGGTTAAGGATGAATAAACTACCACTCAACCCAAAAACTTAAACTAATGGGTTATGTAAATTTAATTCATGGATATCTCAATACCTTCCATCACTTGTGGAGTTGGGAAATTATACAAGACCCAACAAGTGGAAATCATAATAAATGGGAATATGCAAAAGTTCAACGTAATTCAAAAGCTTAGCTAATGAGTTGGGTAAATTTAATTCATGGATATCTCAATAGAATACAACATAACTTTGGTTGTTAATATGATCACTTGCTGTCCTACAACAAAGGAAAACGCTAATAGACAAGCTTAAGTCTAATCAGGAATCCATTCGTAAGAAAAAGTGACTGATTTGAAAGCAACCAAGTAAAGTTTGTTTCTTATAAAAAAAAAAAAAACCAAGTAAAGTTTGTAGAGATTAATAGAATGTAGATGTTAAAAGGATCAGATGGTGACTTTGAACCAGACAGAAAAATTGACCAGTGAGGCATTTCTGACCCACCAAGCGAAATCAAGCTGAAGTTTTATTGATTACAGAACACAGTAAAAAGAGAAGTGCAAAATAGGCTTCAACAATACCTGTTAAACTTTGAAGGGATTGCTCAATGTCCCAGCAAGCCATCACTGCTTCCATTGCATGAACTCGGACATGTTGTTGGAGTTGTTCCTTGAACGAACAAAGGAGAAGAACATAATGCGTCTGCGACACGAACACATAAAGAATTACAATTTCCGTTTGGGCCATCGAAAGAAGAAAGTATTAAAAGACAGATGCAGAGTGTTGAAGACAATATTAAGGACACATTCCAATTGTTGAAGAACAGATTCAGATCACTACAACATATTCTCGTTGATATTACTAAATACATCATGTATCCCACCTTGCTCGTAGAAGTACTTTTAAGTGAAACACTTTTTAAGTACTCTCGATAGAAATACTAATAATTAAATGCTTTCTCTAAAGTATTTTAAATTAATTTGAGAACTTTCAAATGAATTTTTCAGCATTCTTATACCATAATCAACCTTAAAAGTAGAATTAAATAACTAGATAAGATGCGTTTTTAATTATTCCAATAAGAGACATTTAAGTTAGCATGGGATCTACAGTACTCTTTGTCCAATTATCAGTTCTGATCTTCAGTCACTCGTTTAAATGTCTCTAAATAAATGTTAATCAATCAATATCAGTAATAAGATGGGCAGATGTTGAAAAAATCTATGCCGACTGTTTCATTCCACGAGAGACCAGAAACCAGACAGGGCAGCCTTTTCTCAGCTGCAACAAAATAAATTTTCTCAACACTAGCAGCAGAGAGGAGTACGACTCAAAAACATTGACCAAGTGGCAAACCGACATTAAAGATAAAAAATAAAAATTTCTGGTTACTGTCTTAAAAATTTGTCCATACGTTGTAAAAAGCCTGGTAGCTCAATTAATTGGAGATTCTGGGTTATTTATTACCATATCTGCCTTGCTAATTATGGCAGTACTCCAACTTGCAAGCAAAGACATAAAATGTCCATCTACAAGTGAGGGATGATAAGCCACTTATTTAACAAACCAAGAATTACCCATTACCATTTTCAACTCAAATTACCCAGAAATACACAGCAGTTCATCCACTCCCCTCTATATATGATTCTTCCATTTCCAAATTTATCGAAACAACGCCAGAAATTTAGAACGATTTCTGGAAGAGAGAGGGAAAAAAAAAAC